CTGGTGGTAGTGGTTGTGCTGGCGGTGCTGGTGCGGCTGGCGCTGTTGTCGCCCTGTTGATGACGTCAGCGATGCGGTTTAGTCGGGCGTGGTTTAGTCGAGCGCGGTTTTGTCGTTGAACCTCCAATGTCAACTGAAGGCCACTGTTTGTTTTTTTAGGTTAAACATTCCCAATTCTTTTCACTATCTTGAATATGAAGCTCTTCTATATATTTCCAGACTCTTCACCATTCTGGCTAGCCTCTTCTAGATTTGCTAATTTTGTCTGTGTCCTTAAAATATGGGGCCTATGGAAGGTTACAGTATTGAAATATAGCTTACTAGCACAGAGTGGAACTACTACTTCTTGTGACTTGAAGTATACTGAGATATTGTTAGTTTCTAACAGCGATAGGGTTATGTACTCCAGCCCTACCCCTTCTATATTGGCCCTCCCCACATTTTTATAGAACAACAGTTGTGAAACTGTTTCTCCATTCAATTATAGTCAAACATGATTACATTCCTCTTTCAAACTTTCAATAATAAAGAGATGTTATAAATGCAGCCATTTTTTTTAGTTGTGATTTGAAGAGAACTGTTGATGCCTGAAGAGAACAGAGTATATAATCAGTAAAAGAAAATCCACTGTAAAAAAATGTAACTATTTGGAAATGCCATTTATATATAAAAAGGAACAAATATTTTTCCACTGACATGTAGGCTTGTTATTAGTGTTCCCAAAGTTAGCTTTCATACTTACTGTGCTGCATTTCAACTACACCCACATTGAAAACCTTCTGAATTATGCTCAGACGGAGTTTCCCATCACAGAGGATAACAGCATGCTCTTCAGAAGTAATAGATCCAGAAGACTCCTTCTGTTAATAAAATTTTAGGCATAATGATTCATAACAGCTAGCCCCATGCTCATGAACCCGGGTTTCAAAGGGTGGAAATAGATGCCATTCAGATACAATCTTGTTACTTAGTGCCATACTTTATGCCCATTGGTAAGAGCTGCATACATAGAGATACTACTAAGACTGAACTTGCACAATTTTCACTTTGAATATTGTAGTACTTTGGGCATATTCAGATCAATGGCTAGAGCAAAAGATGTCACAAATGAACCCAGTTCAATGTTTGTTTTCTCTGTGTCTGTAGGTAAAAAGTACTGTCAATCATGTCTGATAGTCACTATTATCTATGAAATAGGTGCATGTAATTTTTATATGTGCAAGACAATACTTATTCATACAACACATAAACACACATACACTTATTCATGGTCCTTTCTCCAGCCCACTCCAGGAGATATGTTCCTTCCCATGGAAGGAAAATTAGGTTAAGAAAAGACAGCTTCCTTAGGATCATCCAGCAATTCTTGAGACTCAATGGAGATTTAAACCAAGAGTTTTTCTTGTCTTAATTAAGTGTGCCTCTAGCCAAATCTACTGGCTCTCAAATGGCATTTCTGGAATATTTTCAACCTCTTGAAAATTACTTTTTAGATTGCATTGCAGTGACAATTCTAGAGAGTCACACTGATGCCTCCAAAAAAGTCCAAATCTTCCCTCTCCTATCTTTAAAAATAGTTTTACATAACTAGATTGTGGCAAACAGCTTGTTGCTCTTAAGAAATTTTACAGCAAAACTCACAAGGAAAGAATTAATATTACTACTTTTTAAGTACAGCTGGCTATATTAAAACTGTGACAGCATACTCTTTTTTTAATTGAAAGTTACCTGGCAAATCACGTTAACAAAAGAAGGTTCACAAGATGATGGATACTGCGGAACAATTTTTTTCCCGGATCTTAGAAGCTCAGTTATCTCAAAAAGTTGATGCTGAAGTTCTGCAAAACTGTAGCACAGTTCTTCTAGATTTTTAGAGATGCAATTAGCTTCTTTTTCACTTTGCAGTAAGTTCCTTTTTACTTCATGAGAATGCATTTGTTTATCATACGAATTAGAAGTTTCATGAGATCCAACTCCTGATGTGTTTGAAGTTGGTATATTTAGTGATCCTGAAGAGTTTTCAAGCTCTTGAAGAACAAAGGAATGAGCTATTGGCTCAACGTCTAAAGTTCTCAAATCTTGAGGGAAATTCTTGGACATCTTTTTCTCAGCAGAATCCACAATGCTTGTTGGCAGACATTGTTCATCAACGATTTCTTCTATCAGTTTTTTCTTCCCAGAGGATGGCATGCTCATGCAGTCTGGGAGCAGCAATCCTTCCCTCAGAACATGACCATCAGAAGAATGCCTTTCAACACATTCTCTTTTCACGGGTGTGTTCCTAAAACAAACCTGAGTAGGCCCCAAAAGTGCCGAGGGGCCTTCTCTAGAGGTGATCCTTTTGACGATCAAGCGGAGAATGTACTTGTCAGAGCGTGAAGATGGAAGAAAAGCAGGATCCATTAATTTTTGTTTTCCAACCAGAATCAGTAACAGTTTCTCTGTTAAGAAACATAATCCCTTTGGCCTCTCATTCTTCTCCAATTGAATTTGTTGAAAGTTAGGCAGGAGGGATGAAGCTAAGGAATAAGCCAAAATTATATTACAAGTATTGGAGGCAACTACCACAGTCTGTGTCTTAGAGTCAAAAGCCAGGATATCTGGGACCAGGACACCCGGGATGCTGACTTTTTTGCTAGTTGTCGCTTTTCTTTCAAACGTTACCAAAATCAAATGTGACGCATCGTGACCGCTTCCAGTTAGGTAATCCTTGGATCTTAGATTAATGAGGGAACTTTTTTCAGAGAGGTGTTTGCTCGAAGGCAGATGAGTCAAATCCACTGGGGACGATGCTAACATTTCCTGGTCCGTTAACTTTTTTCCATCATCTACACAGGGATCATCCTCATATTCTAATGGGTTACTTTGAGAAGGAATTGAATTTCCAATAACTTCATTTGGGATTTCAAAGGAAACACCAGCATTTAAGCTGCAGATCTTATCTAGTGGCAATTCAGTAGCAACTGTCACTTGTGCATTCACGGTTGGTTCAATTGCACAAACATAGCCGCCTACATCCAATATTGGACAAAAGGAGCAGGCATTTAAAGTTTTCTGATCATCATCCCACATGTAGGAATGGAGAGTGCTACCTATCCCGATCACCAGACGTTTGCCTCCCTCGGTCCAACAAGCACAATGAATGATACCGGTACCTTTGATATCGGCTTTTATTCTGGAGTTATTGAGTCGCACCGAATGGAGCACAGACGTTTCTCGCGTAGTGAGCACCGCTAAGATTTCTTTTTGGGGATGCCACACACAACCCTGAGGAAGTATAGGAAACAGCTCGCTGATTTCACTGATCTGATAAACCATCAGCTTGTTTTGTTCTGAAGCACTGTAACAGAGTTGCCACATTGTAATGTGTCTTTTATGCTGAATAGCAAGAAGCGCAGGAGCGTCTGGTGCACAAAACGGACCCCAGTAGAGTCCGTGAACGTGTTCAAATTGACCCACAACGTTTGAATTGCCAAAGTTAGGTTCTCCATTACGCTGGTATAAAGAGGTCAGTATCACTTGCTTTCCGTCTGTCCAAGCAATCCCATGCACAGGATGGATGGCCTGGTGTAAGGCATTAAGGCCAGTTCTCAAGAGCTTCCCTTTTCCCAGCTCCATGTTTAAGTTTTCATGGAATACATCTGTAAAGAAAACAAATACTGTTTTAATTCTCTCATTACTAATTCTCTCATTACTAATTTCCAAACCAATAAGTGAAGGCAAACTATTAAAGTTTTATAATTGTCCGGTACTCTTTCATTATTCTGTTGTGGATTTTGTTGAGCTTCTTTTAATTGATACATTGGTACTCAACCTGACTTAGTTTCTCAATGTTCTAAGTAAATGAATTGTCTCAAATGAATTTGACAGCCACATTTTAGTACAGGAAAAGACAGAAGATCATCAGTTCGCCAGCATATATAAATGTATACCTTATAAGAAATACACATTTTCCTTTCCATGAATTTGGAAAAGACTGTAGTTCAGGAAAAAGCAACAATGGGTATCTGAATTCAGCTTCCCAATATTCTGGAGCTGTATGTTGTGACATTTTGGTATATTGGAAAAAGAATTGTTCAAAATGATCAGCCTATTTTTGACTTATGGGACACTGTAAGGGTAATGTGAGAACAAGAGGCCTAGCAAAAGCAATCTAATCCCATTGTCACCCAGAAATCACCACATAATAAAACCAATTGGGCCACAATCACACCGCAGAAATCTATTTGGCTACTGAATTCCAGGAGCATTTTCTGGATACTGAAAGCATAAAATCTGTCCCACAATTAATATTTCTGTTCTAATCAATTATGAGGAATATTTCAATTTTTAAATTAACCCAAAGAGTTTGTTCATTCAGGACCAGGAAAATGTGATCCTTCAGATATTAGTAAAGTACAACTTCCAGCAGCTGCAGTCAGTTTGGGTAATGCTGAGAGATTTTTACAGTTTAGCACCAAATGTTCCCTCTCCTTGTTTAAAAATGAACTGGATGGCCATGACACACATGTGGCTATTTTGTATCAAATTGTGACTACAGGTAGTCCTTGATTTACGACCACAATTAAGCCGCAATTTTTTCTTGCTGAGACATTTGTTAAGTGAGTTTTGCCCCATTTTACGACCTTTCTTGCCACAGTTGTTAAGTGAATCACTGCAGTTGCTAAGTTAATATCACAGCTTATAGTGTTACACAGTTAAGTGAAATTGGCTTCCCATTGACTTTGCTTGTCAGAAGGTCGCAAAAGCCCAGGAAACTGCAACTGTCATAAATATGAATCAGTTGTCAAGCATCTAAATTTTTGATCACTCGACCTTGGGGATGCCACAACGGTCGTAAGTTTGAAAAACAGTCATAAGTCACTTTTTTTCAGTGTCGCTGTAACTTTGAACTGTCCAAGACTATTTGTATCCAATTGAATCAAGTATTTTCCAATGGGAAAAAAAAAATCCTTACATCACCGGCTCCATATTTCAAGAATGGGATAAATTCCAGAGCCCATCTCAGAATAACCATGAGTTGTAATGGGGAAGAAAGCAGTGGAAATATATAGACATCAAGCTGAATATAGTCTCTCGTTTGCAGGCTGGGATCTTTCAAGATGTGGCACCTTATTTTTCCCCACCAAGATTGCAATTTAGAAGAGGCTCTCCTTCCCCACTATGTGGGACATGACGATGGGGAGATCATCCGTCACTCCCTATTTCAGCCTTTTAAAGCCCCGCGTCCCCAGAGCTTGTCGGGATAAAAACTTCACCTTAGGAAACCGGCGTAACCAGTGGCGGGGGCAGATGGGAGCTGTAGTCCAATCAGAAACCTAAAGACCGGCTAAGTCGAAAGAAAAAAGACCGGACAAGACAGATTCGGGGTTTTCGAGAGCAATTTCTCATTGCATTCCCCACCCTTGCGCCTTTTTTATTCTCCCCACGGGCAGCGCCTCGGCTTCTTTTGCTGAGCCTCCTCCCGGTTCTGACCGCCACTCCTTCGGATCCAACGCCGCCTCCGTTCGTGCCCCTATGGTTCCATCCCCGCATCCATTTACCTCTCTAAACACGCGATCCGGCTGCTCGTCTGTGTAACGACAACACCCTCTTTTCACGCCCACTCGGTGCTCCGTTTGCTGCCGGAATCCCAGATTCTCGTTCTGGGGGAGGCAGAATCGCCGAGCAGGAACACATGGACTTACCCCGCCTTGCCACAAGGGACGCTGCTGGCGGAGGCTTTCCGAAAAGGTTAAAAAAGGGAGGCGGGCTCTAAAGCTTATAATATAGGCACGCATTCCCTTGCCTGCCTATGAGGTGCTCCGTCACCGGAGCTCTATTTCTCTATTGGCCCGTGTGTGAGCTAACAAACGCCCCCTTGCGACAGAAACGCGACTCAGGAAACTTCATGCTCCGGCAACCCTTCCCGTCGTGCTGTTTGGTGGCGTAGCTTCCCCCCCCCCCACTCGCCCTTGGAGGGGGAAAAATGGCGGGAACGTTGGGTTGATTTTGGGGCTTACGCGGCTCCTGCAATGCGGGCTTCGTTTTTTTTTTCTGGAAGAGAAGCCTTTCCACAGTTTTGCGTTCCTGAGGCTGAGGCCAAAAAGTCAGAAAGTAATAAAAGCTTAAATGTCTTTTAAGAACCGCAAATGGGTAGTGGTTTAGAACAGTGTTTCTCAACCTTGGCAACTTGAAGATGTCTGGACTTCAAGTCCCAGAATTCCCCAGCCAGCGAATGCTGGCTGGGGAAGTATGGGAGATGAAGACCAGACATCATCAAGCTGCCAAGG